GTGGGAAGTGCCTGAAAACCATGGCAACCCTGGAGTGACAGCAGTGACCTCATCACACCCTCCCCCAGCAGCTCCAGGGTCCAGTTGTGGGGTGGGGAGGGTAACATGGGGGTAATAACCCCCCTCCCATTGAAGCCAAGCCCTGGATGGGCCTGGAGGATGGGTCCCGTTAACCCATGGCTCTCCTTGCTCCTGGATAATCCCTCCTGGGGATCCTCCTGCAGCACAGGGGTGGGGGGCACTCACGACAGTCCTTCTCGTCCTCGCCGTCCCCACAGTTGTCCTGCCCATTGCAGCGGAAGATGCCAGGGATGCAGCGGTTGGTGTTGGTGCACTTGAACTGGCTGGGCAGGCACACGTGGATCTCTGGGGGGAGGTAAGGGGTAGGGTGAGATGCCTGCCATGGCCTCCCCCGCTCCAGCCAGCAGCCCCCCATGTCCTAAACATGGAAATCCTGTGATCTGACGGGCCAGCAGGGAGCTCCGGGGGTCATGGCTGGTCCAGGCTGGAGGCAGGATCAGGCCTGTCCAAACCACCCCCAACAAACCTGGGGTCCAACCTTTTAGTCCAGCCCCACAATGCAGCACCAGGCACCACACCCAGCCCTGCCCCTGGGGTAAATTCCTTCTTGATGCCCAATCTGGCATTGATCTAACCCTAAGTGCAGGGGCAAGACCCTCCAGCCAGGGCCTTGCAGGGCTGGTGCCAGCTGGAGCATTGGTACAGCCCAGCTGCCATCCCCAGCACCTTTGGGGGGGCTTCGAAGCCCCCTGAGACAAGGAGCAGAAGCCAGGGGGATTCCCTAACCCACTTTGCTGCAACTTTCAGCCCTGGCTCTGTGTCTTGCTCCCTGCCCAAAATGGCCAAGGCATCCCCCTCTCCGAGGACCAGAGGCTGCTCTTGTGTCTCCTCAAGTGCCTCTTAAGCAAGCTGAGGGTGCCCAGCTCTTCCAGAGTGCCCCCCCACTGCCCCCCAGCCAGAGTGTGGGACCCAGGCATCTGGGGCCATGTACCGCAGTTGGCCTCATCAGAGTTGTCCTGGCAGTCATTGTCGCCGTCGCAGATGAAGGCTGGGTTGGTGCAGATCCCCGTCGAGCACTGGAACTGGCCCGGGCGGCACTTGAACTCAGCTGCAGGGGGAAGGAGGGGCGGCAGAGGTGATGTGTCCGACCCCACAAACCCCCTTTGCCTTTCTCTAGGACTGATGCCCCCCTGCGTGGCACCCGCGTGGGCAGGACAGCGCCGGCCTGGCTGCAGCAGGGAACTCATTGCGGGGAAGGAGTGTGGCAGTCCCCCGAGACTCACGGCAGTCCTCGGGCTCGTCGGAGCGGTCCCCACAGTCGTCCTCCGTGTCGCATTTCCACCAGAAAGGGATGCACTTGTCGTTCTTGCACACGAACTGCACAGGGAGATGTGGCCGTGGGAGGCGGTCCTGGGCAGGTTCCCTCCGTGTCCAGGCCCTATGTCCCTCCCTCTGCCCTAAACCCTAGGGGAGTTGGGGGGGTAGGGAGACCCCAGGGCAGGGGTCTGGCAGCTCCCAGCCAAGAGAGACTCCTCCCACAAAGCACAGCAAGTGAAGGAGACCGCCCCGCCTCCCCAGATGCACCCATGCATGATGCCCAACACGTGTCCATGCATACACGTGTGCACGCACTTGTATGTGCCCCCCAGGCAGGAGGCGGCACGGGGCCTGGCACTGCCTTGGCAAAGAGGTACACATAGGTTCACACATATATGAAAACACACGCACAGCCTGTCTCACCCCAGCAGGTGTGTGTGTGTGTTGGGGGGGTGCTATCAGGAGAGGCTGCAGTGGCCAAGGCCTGCCACAAGGTGGTGCTGCTTTGGCAGAAGTGCACACATACCTGTACCTCTGTGTGGCATATGTAAGTGTGAATCCAGGCACATGCATATGAAAACATGCATGTGCCCTGTCCCTGCCCAATGGGTGTGTATGCATGTGTGTGTGTGATTGAGTGTGTTGTGGGGACATATTGGGCGAGGCTGCAGTGGCCAAGGCCTGCCACAAGGTGGCACCACTGCCTTGGCGTAAGTACATACATGCTAGTGCCTCCATGCACATGGATAATCGTGAATCCAGGCATGCATGTTCACACACATATAAAAACACGCACCTTGTCCCATCCCACCAGGTGTGCATATGTGCGTGAATGTGTGTTTGTGTGTGTGTGTTGGGAGGGCACATCAGGCAATGTTGGCAAAGAGCTCCATGCACCCACCCACAGAGAAGCCTGGACACGCTCAAGTGCAAACACATGCGTGCCCCCCTCCAGGGGTACCTGGCTGGCAGTGCAGTTGGAGACGCAGGTCTTGCCATCGCCGCCCAGGTAGAAGTTGGTGGGGCAGGCGCACTTGTGCCCCCCACCCGGGGACAGCAAGCAGAGGTTGCTGCAGCCTCCGTTGCTCACCTTGCAGGGGTGGTCGGGCACTGGGGAGGGGAAAGGGGCAGAGGGTCAGCACACTCCTAGGGACAGATCCTCTCTGCCTCCCTGACAGGCAGGTCCAGGTGCCACCCAGACACCAGCCCAGATGCCCTGATCCCAGGCTGGGGGGTGGGGGGGACAGACACAGAGACCAGGGACACTCACCATCGGGCTGGCGGTAGGGGTGATAGATGTGGATGTCCATGGGCCGGTGCAGGGTGCTGATCAACATGGTCTTGTTGGCGCCCGTGGTCTTGTGAGCCCGGTTGATGGACTTGGTCTCCCAGTCCGTCCAGTAGATGAAGTCCTCGAAGAGCGTCAGGGCGAAGATGTGTGGGATGTCCTGGCTCAGCACTGCAGGGTGGGTGGGGGGGTGCTCAGGGCTGGGGGGTCCCCGCTCAGCCTCTCCCGCCACCCAGTGCCAAGAGGGTCCCGTGGGAAAGGGAGCCCTGGGGCTGGTCCCCAGACCTCACGGGGCTGCCAGGGGCCCAGGGAAGGGAAAGGAGGTAAACAGGGATGTACTAGGGTCAGGCACAGGGCTGGGGGGTGCCCTCCAGCCCCTACATGCTAGACCCACCCCCCGCATAGTGGAGAAGAGAACCCAGGAGTCCTGGCCCCCAGCTCCAGGCCCGATGCCTCGGAGAACCCCCCCTACACACACACACACACACACACACACACACACACACACACACACACTTGAACCCAGGAGTCCTGGTCCTGGGGGTGCCATGCTCGAGCCCCGCACCTGTGTGCCGGTTGGAGCCATCCAGGCTGGCAAACTCGATGTAGTCCTCGCGGGCATCGGCCCAGTAGATGCGCCCATTGATGTAGTCGAGCGTGAGGCCGTTGGGCCACGTGATCCTGGTGTCCACGACCACACTGCGCTTGGTGCCGTCCATCCCAATCTTCCCGATCAGGGAGTGGTCACCCCAGTCTGTCCAGTACAGGTAACTGGGGCAGGTGACAGGGGCCCATCAGAGCCTGCGGCACTGGCCTGGCACTACCCGCTGCACGGGCAGGAAAACTGAGGCATGGAGGGGGCAGAGGGAGGCTGGGACATTACAAGGCTGGGGAGAGGAGCCCAGGGCCCTGCTACACGTTCAATTAAAGCTGGAGAGAAACCAGCTAGAGAGATGCTATGTGCTAATTACCTGGCACATGTGGTTAGTATACATTTATTGCGCGATTCACCAGTTCATTGCGTGCTAATTACTTTGCACGTGGCTGGCCTACATTTATTGCGTGATTCCTTCCCCTGTTCATCACATGCTACTTACTTCACATGCGCAGCCAACATAAATTTATTGCGTGATTCTCCTGTCCATTACATGCTAATTATTTTACATATGTGCCCAGTGTAAATTTATTACACGATTCCCCTGTTCATCACGTGCTGATTACTTCACGTGTGGCCAGCATACATTTATTGCACAATACCCCTGTTCATTGTATGCTAATTACATGAATGGCCAACATAAATTTATTGCACAATTCTTCCACTCATCACATGCTAATTACTTTGCATGTATGGCCGGGCTAAATTTATCGCGCGATTCCCCAGTCTGTTGCGTAATACAAGTAACGTGTAGCAAGCATCCTGCCAGGATCCCAAGCTCTTGGCATTAGCTGGGTGGGTCCCAAGCTGCAGTGCGAGGAGGGAAGGTGCCTCCAGGCTCAGTGAGGGCACCAGGGTTGGCTGGCAGGGATTTTGGGGGCACCCACCCAAAGCGAATGCCCCCCCAGCTCTCACCCGTTCTGCACGTCGACCACGAGGGCGCGGGGCTCGCGCAGACCCGAGTTGACCAGCACTGTGCGATAGGCCCCGTTGAGCTTAGACACCTCAATAGTGTCTCGGCCCTTGTCGCACCAGTACAGGTTGCCCCCCACCCAGTCCACAGCCAGCCCATCTGGGTTGCTGAGGCCTGTGCGGTGCAGCACCTGTGGGGGCGGCAACAACGCTGGGTCAGAGCCGGGATCAGGGCCCAGCCACCCCTGCCATGCTGTGAGCGCGGCGGGTCTCAGGCCAGGAGCTGCCCGTGGCAGAGGTCGTGGGGCAGGGATCATGCCCGGGGGGGGCCGGGACCCACCTGCACATTGCTACCGTTGATGTGCATGCGCCGGATCATGCTGCCCTGCGTGGTCACGTCGGTCCAGTAGATCATCTGCTCCCGGTAGTCAAAGTCCAAGGCCACCGCGTTGTTTAGGCCCTGCAGCCCCCCAGGGTGGATGCATTACAGCCCAGCACCTCCCTGACTCCCGGGGTTGCTGGGGGTGCGGGGGGAAATCGGGGGCCTGGATGGGGAGCAAGGCACCCCCGGGGCATGCTGAACCCAGCTGCGGTGCTGGGG